GATAATCCCTATTATAAAGCCAGCAAAATAAAGGCATATTGACTTGATAGTTTTCCCACAAATAGCTCATATTTTATATATATTGCTCTAAAGTTTTCAATATCAAACTGTTGTTTACTTCAAGAGATAGCATATGCTTAAAAAATACCGAATTTGATTGAGTTTTTGCGAAATTTTGCTAATTTTTTCTTCGCTCATTATCTCAAGAACAAAACATTCTTTTTCACTGAAAATTTCAGGGTATATTAGCAGCAACAAGAACTGTTTATGAGCAAAGTTTCAACTCAAAGTTACACTCTAACATATTTTTGCGAGATCCTGCGTTTCTGGTATAGGTCATCGTGTGGCTCGGGAAGAAGATTAATGTTGTTCGTTTTAACGAATTTATGAGTATACTGAGGATTTAATAGTTCACTTTTGATAATTATTTTCCTCTCAATACCGCAATAAAGGCTTTCGGCTTTTAAGGGTTAAATTTTATTGAAAGCAGCATAATGATCTTTTTCAATGTTAGTGAAACTCATCATTGAATTGATATCATAGTCAAAAAACTAAAATTTAACTTCATGACAATGTTCTTATTTTCTAATTACAAATGTAATCGAGCATAAAATTAATCTCTTCGTCTATGTTCTTTACTATTTCAAATGATGTTTTGACCTTCCGTCACGTTTACCATTATCAATTGTTGTTACAATACAAATTGTAGTTAATAGTGTCGAATGTTTATTTCTTCAATCAGATGTTATTCTCCACATCGAACTTTTAAAATATTTCATTAATTTATAATCATAAAACTTTGTTGCTAATGAACTTTCAGCTGAAGATTTTGTTCACTAAAACATTCTTCTAAATTTCGGACAAAAATATGCAGAATTTTGAACAATCATTATTGTAAATTACTTTGAGCAATAAATTGTTCTGCCAGGTGATTATGTTTGCAAGAACGACAATCTTTATGATTGTACAAGAGAAAATGGGGTTTGTGTTAATGCACGATTTGTTATAACGTTTTCGTTATCTTGACGATCTTCTTAATCATTGATGATGAAATACATTTTTAAAAAAGTGTTCGATTCATTATTTTAACGATTATTGTTTAATTTTTAAATATCTTAATTAGTATGGCAAGCAAATTTTATATTTTCAACATGTGAATTATTTAATGAAAGTTGAAAAAAAAAGATATTGTTAATAGTTTAATAGCTTACAACATTTACTAAACAATACTTTTATATAAATTCATCTAACATACCACAACTGTTACCATTTTTAAATTACTTGGGCAATATTGTTTTTTTTCTCTATTCAAAAAACTATCGACGTTTATAGCGGTATAAATATTATTGAACACATGAACAACCATTTGTTGATGATCCATCCATATTAGAATCATAACAAAATAAAACAATAAACGAACTTATCTTTGTAGAGATTTTGTAAGCACCGCTGAATAACTCATCCCGTTATTCGAGATTTTCTATGGAAAAGAAGTAAAATTTTTAATAATGTTGATGACGAAAAGAGAAAAAATAGATTCAAAGTAAAAGGAGAGACTTTGTTTTTAAAATTTTCTTGTTTTCTTTTTAGTAACAATATTTCAAATGAGTTGATGAGTCAGAAGAATAAAATCTTTAAACTAAACTTCATTTGGTTTTCTTCAGTTTATCAAGAGTACCTATTACTTATTTCGAAGATCTTACAAATGAAATTATCTGTGAAATTATTTTCATGTTTATAAAGCTTTTTTCAAACTTAATTTACGATTTCGTAAGTTTCTTATTAATTCAATTCTTTCGGTTAAAACCAATCTTTTCTTTATGTCAAAATCAACTTTTTAACAGTATTATATAGACATCATCTTGATTAATACTGATCGAATGAATTCGCTTCATTTTTTGAAATGAATTCATCTAAATGCATTGAAATATTGCAAATTATCACTATTGAGATCCTATAGTTATGAGATATTACTGGTTGCTATCAATATTTACAGACGAATTAAACAATCCATCATCAAAATTTTCATATGCTTACACGATTTTTTATTAGTTATTTTTCAGATAAAACATATATGGTTTTATTGCTTATTTTTTCAAATTTGAAATATATCTAATGACCTTTGACCTTTTTTTTTGTTTAAGTAAAATTGGTATATTCATTTGTATGTTATATCTTGGCGGTATGCATATAGATATTGGAATTAATCTTTCTTTTGTGTATTACTAATGTATACACACTCAGGTAGAAGAATAAACAGATGAATCTCTGGAGTATATTATATCATATCGAACACTGTGATAATTGCTTTAATTAGGACATTGTTGGAGTAATATCTTGTTTCTATCGAAATGACATATTGGATTGGATTACGGTGCTCATATTTACAGACTTTTATTTAAAAAGTTCTTTTTGTGTGTGCAATATTTGTATTGATTCAGTTGATTTTTTTTTCATAGATTAAGCATTTTGTCTTCTCTCCTGCGCTCTAGGTAATGTGAATATCTTTGCAGAAAAATATACAGACATTTCTATGCCCTCAAGATTGAAGTATTTCAACATATACACATGCGAAAATTTTCAATACTATTGATAATACTTCTTTTGATAAGAATCACTGCATCTTGTATCTATTTGTTCATCATATGTAAAAATAGATGTTCTTGAAGACAGATAATATATATATATATATATTTTTATTACCATCGTTCGTAGACAAAAATTATTGCTCTATTTATAATGAATAATAGATCTTTAGATTGATGCTTTCCATCCTTTATTCTGCAGTGAAAAAGTTTACAGAATCCTTGATTGGATATGTTAGGAGAATTTTCATACGTATTCTTAACTGCAATTACATGTCATGGTTCACAAGACAATCAAGTTCGGGTACTCATGTAAAGAGTTAACTGATTAAGAAAATAATTTTTATATTGATCTTATTTTTAACAACGCGTTGCGATATTTTAACTGAAATTTATTCAATTGCACATAATAATCATTTTATTACTTGCTTTTTAGTAGATATAAATATACATTTACTTTTTATTGAATACAAATTAATTTCCAATACATGTTTGATCTTATATAAGTATGTAAAACTGTAGAGAGAAAAATAAAAACACACAATTTAAGCAGATTTAGCCTGTTGTGGGTGTGAGCATATAATGTGATCAAATCTGCACTCACATCCACACCCTTATTGAAAAAATTGGATGTTTTCCACATGAAAAAAAAGATCAATTTTTTGACACTTTTTTTTTTAATTTTCCGTTTATTTTTTTCAGATCTTTTATCATAGAAAGATAGTTTAAAGTATTTTTTGAAATATAGAGTTTTGTAGAGCTTGTCGAGCTCTGTCGAATTATGTACAAATATCTAAGAAAAATGTTTTATTTCGTATTTGAATTATTGGCACCTTACTTTTCTTTATGAAAAAACTTCGTAAGTTCAAAATTAAAAGGTCTTAATAACCATTACTATTTAATACCAATAAATACAGTTTTTCACGGGCTTCAATTTGTTATAAAATATGTAGTGAAATCATTTTACTTTAAGGGTGAACTTAGGGGGCGTAAAGGTTTTTTAAAACCCTGTAGTAAAAAAAACTTTACTAATTGAATATCATGTTTTTAATAAAACATTTCTATTGAAACTACGGTTGGATCATTGATGATTGAAGGGAATAGCTGAAATTTCTCAACGCAATTTCAAGGAATGTAGTCGAACCAAAAACAGTACAGAATGAAATAAGAAAAGATCTTTTGGCTTAAGAATTTTCGATCGATTCAGAGTTGAAAGTATCATCTGATTATATCCATGTCGTCAAGATCTCAGAGTTTATAATAGAACAATCAGGAAAACTATTTCAACTTTTTTGTCATATGATATATAACCGAAACTTCACTTTTGTTAAAGTGATCATTATTAGTAAATACACCTTTCAATCGTCGTAGACGGAATGAAACAAATGAGAGTGATTGAAAATAAAAGAGACAATTAATATCATCGATTGATGACAACTCTTTGATAGTTAATTTGTTTTTTTTTTAGCACTAAAGGTCATTCAGTTCGATTTATTTTTGTTTTGATATTAGCAGAGGTAAATGAGAGCACTTATTCTTTCCATTTTAACTTACAATTTGTATTTCTAGAAAAGTAATTTCCGGACATGATGCAATCTTATTCTGTTAGAAAATCACAAAAATATAAATTATGGAGAATGAAGTCTTCTACGAAACAGTTCATATAATATATTGTAATTCTTAGACATAATTCTAGTCCCGAATATGTTGACATCTATACATTTTTCTTCATTGTACATAAAAGAAATCTTGCAATCGAAATTTGTACGTTTTCCTGACTGTCGTTGAAAATCTATGAAATAAACATTAATCATTGTTTCCATCATGTCTTATTTGAGAGAAGCAATAGAAATCTATATAAACATATACATGTATGTTGTGTCAGTCTTCATTATATCAGGATATCAAGTACAGAACAAAATCTTGTGTATGATTTTTTTTTCTGGTATCGAATGAGTATAACTGTTCGATTCTTCGGGTAACAGATAACTCTATTTCAGAATATAGAAGACAATATTCTGTTCGATCAATACTTTTTTTTTCATTCTTTTCAAACTTGACTTAGATTGATTTCTAGTCATGCGAAACTAAACCAGGTAATTTATCATAGTCATCTATATAAAAGATCAAAATATGAACTTGAACGATAGCTCTTATTATTCTATTCGAGTGAACATTAAGCTACATTTCGGTATGATGATACCAGGAAAAGATCAACAAAATTAAAGTTTGAAATTTCAGGTGTAAATTTACCGTTGGTACTAAAGAAATTCAATTACTCAAAAAACTCCAACAATAATCTGTTTATACACTTTTAAATTCATAAATATACCAACACAATTTTGAACATGACAAGATTTTTGTTTTGCTTTCATTTATATATTACCATTTTTTTTTCTATTTATATTCGATTAGATGGATTATTTTCATATGATCACGACAAAACTAATGTTACTCTTACTTCTTTTTCTCTCAATTAGTTATTTGTCCGGTGATCAGGTAAACAAAAAACTTAACAATCTTCTAAAATTTATGTTTTCTGATATGACTTATTTACATGGTGCTTTAGAACTAGGGGTGCGAAGTTACCGTTCCCCGGTAACGGTAACTCCCCACCCCTAGTTAGAACATAGATGTATCGTATGAAAATTGAAAGAACGAAGAGAACGATTTATTTGAGTGCATTTTCAAATCGTACTTTGTTGTAGAGTTTCAAATTAGATGAGAATTTTCTCTTCAACAAAATATCACACCTGCTTGCTAAACAATAATTTTAAAAAACTAAGACAAAATGTTATTAGATGATTATTTAATAATAAAATATTTCTATTGATTATAGAATATAAAATTAGCAATACAACTCGAACGTTCATCTGGAATATTGTTACATATAACATCATTACCATCACCATATGGAATTGGTGATCTTGGTCCAGATGCTTTTAAATTTATTGATTTCTTAGTAGAAATAAAACAAAAATTATGGCAAGTATTACCTATATATCAAACCAATTCGCCATCTCCGTATTCAAGTACGAATTCATTTCTATTCTATACAAGAAAGCTTTTATAATAGTTCCCTTTTAATCTACATGCACAAAATAATGAAATGTTAATCCTCTTCTCTTTAGAGTAAAGACTTAGAGGATTTCTATACAATTCATGCTTTTTATCCCTTGGGTCAGAATTTTATTTATATGTTCAGGAATCTTCCGAAGCGGAAAATTTGGAGTAGGATTTTATAATATACAATACGAATCAAATTGTTTCAACTTTTTATTTTCTATTTGTATGTTTTTCGAAAGAAAATGACATAAAGATGTTGTAGATGATGAAACGGATATTCTTTGACTTAAAAAAAAAACTTCATTTATCAAAATGATACTTTCTATCAATGAACTTTAAATAAACCTAAAGAATGTTACTGGTAATGTCTAGAGCCTCGTAATTGGATTGAACATATAGGAAATCTGTCTTTGTCAGAAGATCTTGTTTTGAAATGAAGAAATTTTCAAAATTAGAAAAATATTTTCTGACTTTTATTTCTGACTTTTTCTACAATAGGTGTATCAGCATTTGCCGGTCATTCATGGTTAATATCACCAGATAAATTATTAGAAAGTGGTTTAATATCTAAAGACGACTTAAAATCAATTGAGCAATCAAGATTTAATCAATCGTATGTTAATTTTCATCAAGTAAAGAAAAACAAAGAGAAAATACTGAAAAAAGCATATTTTAATTTTAAAAATAATAATTCGTAAGCATCAGAAATTTTAAATGACTTTTTTC